AGTTTCGCTATAAGAAAAAAAAACTCATGTTACTGTGTATGCTCAGCATTTTTGCTGTGCATACTACAGGCTGGCAAGATAATGAACTTCATTTCCCTTTCCTGCTTCCCCTCCCACCGCTTTCAGGAAAGGTCAGCATTGGTCTTCAGCATCTTGCAAGTATTCCTCAGCAATCTAGGGTTTTCTTGGCATGCTATATGATCATGTGTTTATGCACCACTATTGCTAAACGTGGGAAACAAACCCAATACTGTGGGAACCCTAGCATTTGTGTTAGTGGGAGCATGAATTATTTCACCTTCACATATCCATTATGAGACCTTAAATAGCAGGTAAGCGCTAATTATCATAGGAACAGTTTAGGCTCCGTCTTGGAGGAAGGCTGGCCAAGAGTTAAGCTAATGCACGTTTTCCTGAGCATATCTTTCTACAGCACCTGGAAGATTAGATTACTATTTAGAAAGTGCCTATTCCTTTTGTTTTGGAATTCAAGTTCAAAGGCTTGAAATGATTTTGTGGAACACAATTTGTTCGGCAAGTTAGGCCTATTTTCCAGGAAGCTAAACACTAGAATCAAGCTTAGATGCCTGAGAAGTTGCAGAGTTACCCCTATAAATCCAACAGGAACAGGGAAAGATAGATTTTTATTACTGTAGTTGCTTCACAGCAAACTAGACAAAGGTAATATTTATACTCTTGTGCAGACAGGCAAGAATCTTAACAACAATATCAAGGGTGGGAGAATTTTTTTTTTTTAAATAGCCCTCGTCTTCAAAAGGTCACTGTACGTTACCAGAAACAAACTTATTTTATGTTTTTTTGCTTTGGCCACAAGCTAGGCCAAAACCATAATTGTTTACTGAACTTTACCTAAGATGAGACTGTATTTCAACTTCTCTGCGTAGCTGATGTTCTACTCCAGCTTCCTCCAACTGCGTTTTAAATAGCACTTTCAATGCAAGAATAAATTTACTCTGCTTTTCACGTGCCAGGTATACATTTCCAAATTTTCCTTTCCCCAAAGGTCGACCAATTTCAAAGTCATCAAGAGACCACTGCCTTCTGTAAAAAGATATGGTTAAAGTATCAAAAGTCACACAAAGTATCCAGTTTTTGTATTCTGGGTTTACATTAATAGCATTTATGTTCAATAGACTACTTCCTGACCTGAGCTAGATTGTAGTACTTAAGGGAACACCACCAAGAGAACAAAACATGCATTGAGACTTCAGAAGAGAAGCCTGAAAGCTGGGCTCTTCCTTCTTAAAGCTTACATGTAGAGATGCTAACATCAGCCACGTGTTACTGCAAAAAAGTCAAAACTGCATGTACCAAGCCAGGCACATTTCAGTACAGTTAATACACACGCACTTACTAATGCATGTCAGAACTGTGTTTTAGAGCTAGCCATACTAAGAGTCTCATTCATCCCTAATCAGATTCCAACCTCTTGCACATACGAAGGAGGCATATTTTTCAATTGTACATCCTGTGACTAGATTAGTGTTTATCAGAGTTATCTTATGGGAGTTATCTTTTAGCAAAAAGCTTTTCTTTAGATGACAGGGAGTTCCAGTTCCTGAGAATTTTCAGGTCCAAGTAAGCTTTCCCAGAGTTTCATTAAGAAATGTTATAGCTATGAAGTGTTGGGACACTGTTCTCAATCAAGGGGCTGGAGTACTTAACTAGAACTTATCTACAGCTAATTTCCTTAGTTGTAGCATGTAGTCCTAGAAGTTAAAAGAAAGCCTAATTAAATGGGGCTCTGTTAGCATTTAGGAGCATTTAGGAACACAACAACTTACTTCTTTGTCTCTTCATTTTTCTTTTTAGTGGTCTCTTCATTTTTCTGTTTAGATGTGCTTTCTGCTTCAGTATTTTTTGCTATATATGAATAAGGGGAAACTTATGAACCGAATCCATGAGCACAGTACAAAAAAATGCATGTGGGGAACAAGTACAATCTCAGTGTAGTATCAGCAACAGTTCTTAGATTCCATCCAGTGATATTTTAAAAAATAAACTTACTATTGCAAGGCAGCATAGCAGTTGAGTTACACTGCTATCAAGATGTAATTCCAAGAAAGCTTTTTTAAGTCAAGAGAAATGTTTAGAAGCTTCCCGCCTCCCCACCACCATCAATACAGCACTTTATTATTCATTTTAATATCTTTGGTAATAAAGATCATGATGAATTAGTGCCAATTTCTTTAATTCACAGTTGACTAATAAGTAGCTGGAAGTTTTTCAAGAGCAAAGAAACACCCATATTAGTTCTAAACATGCAATCCTGGCAGTAACATCCAAGATCAAGTGTTACAATTCTGTTTCTGGGTGCAGCCAGATATTTCCGTACAAGACTCCCACATATCATTAAGATCAGCTTCAAAATTCTTGCACTGCACTCTGCTTCATAGAATGGAAGCATCCCAAGTGTCACAACTATTTGACCACATATGCATCATCTTAATTACCAGATCCTGGAGCCTGCTGAGGTTTTTCATTGTTCTTGCTTGGAACTTGAGGCCTAGCAGTTGGCTGGACCAGAGATTTTGGTCGTGGCTGCTGCCCTGTCTGGTTGTTGGACAGTTTTTGGTTTGACAGTGCAGATTTTTGCGTTTGTACAGGAACTCGCTGGGCCAAGTTCGAAGGACATAGAACACGTTGTGCTTGGACTCCACTGCTTAGTAACCGGCTGTGAGCAGAATGCTGAGGCACAGGGACACGTTTTGGGCCATCCCCGATGGGATTTACAGTCTTCAAAAAGAAAACATGATATTCTAATTATGGAAGAGCATACTACAATCTTTATGGCCTCATTCAAACAACATATATATGAGTTAGGGACAGGGTAAAAGGGGAATGTGACACACTAATGGGAGGTGTTAGGATATTCTGATCATAGGCTTTAAGGATAAATTTGATTTATAGACTACTCTGCTGACATTTTCTTGTGGACAGCATATTCACTTATAGCAAGTGGAAGAACTCCACATAAGTCTGAAGAGTATCAGTCAACAGTAGCAAGACTGACAGACCCCTGCTTCCAAATCCTACCACTTGCCTACTGTGCTTTGTTTTGAATCACTGCTCTCTTGAATGCATCTTAATTTGCCTTGCAACATAAGAAGATTTCAGCAGAACAAAGTTTATTCTGTAATTTTTAGTTAACCGGTTTTAATCTTTTCCTTCCAAGGAGTGAAAGCTACAGGTAGTTAAGGCTTATACTTCAGCCATTCTTAGCTGTTCTAGGATACTTTGCCTAAAATTCAGTTCAAATATTGCTAATTAGCTTCTCACATTTATTTTAAACCCTCTAATGATACCTATGTAATAATTTTTACTTCTTTTTCCCCCTAGACATTACTTAATCTTCTGGTTCAGTTCAGTGAAAGTGTACTGACAGCCTGATTAACATATATATATATATATATGTTTTACTCATGCTAGTTTTGAAGCCTCATGTTTCTAAATTAAAAGAATGAGAAAGTATCTGTATGCAAAGATAATGCAGTCAGGATTATCTTGAGCACTCTCCACATGGATATACTAATAGTGACATTAACACAATACTTGCTTTTGGAAACCATATCTGGAATAAGTTACCCACATGCACTTGCTGTTCAGTTAAAGGCTATTAGATTATATGCAAGATACCAGGAAAGTGTTTTAATTAGAGAATGACATATCAATACTAGCAAGAAGGCAAACAAGCCTTGAGCAATGTTCTCTCCAAAAGAGAAGCTGAAAGATAAAGATAGGAATTTGTTTCTGGCAAACAGGAAATGCTACTTCAAGACAAATTTCCTTTTTTACTATTTAGAACTGTGGTAGTCACCACAGTTTTAAGTCTATAGCTCTTGTATGATCACAGAAAGCAGAACAATCAACCTAGCAAGTTATTTACCTTAGCAGCATAGCTATGGTGTCCAGAATGGTTCTCTTTAGTATTCTTGTCCATGATGCCTGAGGAGAAGGGCACATATAGGTTAGCCTACACGTGAGGCACAGTTAGCACAGACCAGCTCCTCGGGCAGCGCTGCGCCTCGCATCTTCCCCTCCGACGCTCCCCGCCTGCGCCCCTCCGCTCCCTCGCG